TCACATTTTGCTCCACAAATGGTAGTCGCCTCTGCCTCCCTGAAGTCCACTCTGTCGTCTCCAACCTAGCGCTGCTGGCCTTGGCCTGGGTTTCCCTTTCCTCTCTGTGGCCTGGAACCACCTGCATGCAGTGAGCTGGTGTCTTACGGGCCCTGCTGTAGGTCTCCTGCTGTCAGGGCTTGCGGTGCTGTGCTGCCCGTTTCTCCATGTGTGAAATCCATCACTTCGACCTTTTGTCCTGTTTTCTGGTTGTGAGTGAAAAGGGAAATCTGGTCAGGGTGGGTCCATCTTAGTTGGAAGCAAAATTCCAGTCTCCTCACCTCACCTTCCCCCCTGCCCTGGCTCTATTTTTTTTTCTCCTACTTAAAAATTAGGACTTCTAAAAGTAGTAACTTAAAATTAACCAACACAGCAGACCTCTTAGAAAGCATACTTTAAATGAAAATAGAACTTTCTGGTATAGTTTTTTTAATATAAAGATTTATTTATTTATTTGAAAGGCAGAGTTGTTACAGAGAGGTAGAGAGAGAGAGAGTGAGAGAGAGAAAGGTCTGCCATACGCTGGTTCACTCCCCAGATAGCCACAACAGCTGATGCTGTGTCAATCCAAAGCCAGGAGCCAGGAGCTTCCTCCAGATCTCCCTCGTGGGTGCAGGGGCCCAAGGACTTGGGGCATCTTCTACTGCTTTCCTAGGCCAAAGCAGAAAGCTGGATTGGAAGTGGAGCAGGCAGGACTCAAACTGGTGCCCATATGGGATGCCAGCGCCTCAGGTGGTGGCTTTACCCACTACACCACAGTGCCTGCCCTTCTGGTATAGTTTTAATACCCTAATTATTTTAATGCCCTAAATTACTTTTAATACATTTATACCATTTCTTGACTGGTACTAACTCCCCATGTTCAGTTTCCTTATTGATAAATTGGACATAATAACAGCACCTATGTGTAAAATGGGTTTAAGTGTAAGGCACTTAGGACAATTTCTGGGTCAGAGTAAGTTCTCAGTAGAAGTTAACCATAGAACTAGAACTAGTTGTTTAATTCTTCTTCATTGCCATGACTTAAGTGTATGCAAGCCTCAAGATTCAAGTAATGACTTATTTTCTGAGACTAGTGCTTGCAGTAATAGACTCCAAGTGTACCACGCAAAAGCAGTAAGGAAAGACTGTGCCTGTTGGCAAAATGTTTTTCTTTTGTTTTATAGGAAATGTCAATAGTTGAGCTTTAATTAATTGCCTTGCAGACATTGTTATATGTAAACCAGTGTTAGCTAAGTTCTAAGAGCATAATTATTTTAATTGTATTAGATATATTTTTCCCAGTGGGAGGCTATGCCTGAGTTTCAACTTTTTGCTTTTTAATATGTCTTTTAAAAAAACTAATTTCCATTAAACCAATTTCCGTTTCATCAACTGAACTGTAGTATTTGAGATTGGAGTTCTTCGAGTCCGCTGGTTCTACCTCGCATCTGTGTAGGTAGCTGAGCTGAGAAGGCTGACTGTGCTTGTGTCAGCGTCATCCCTGTGGTCACACGAGAGTGCGTGGTGTACGTCATGGTCTTTCCTTCAGGCCTTTTGTTTTCACATGCCGATTTAAGACTAGCCCTGGCCGTGTATGGTTGGAGTCATGATTGCTTACATATTGTTTCTTGAGTCTAACTCACGTCTTTGGAAAAGCTTTAAAATTCTTTCCTGTTGAAGCTCTTTGTTAAAATAATTTCAGTAAAGTAAGGTTCCTCTTTTCACACCTAGTCTCAAGCTATTAAAACTTGGTGAAAATTGGAAATTTTTAATCTGAAATAGTTAGGGACCTCTGATACCTCAGATTATGGGTACCTAGGTATTTGAAGATTAGTTTTGGCAATGTCATATTTATACTCACATATTTATAATTAACTTTTTTTGTTTGTGTTTCCTTATAGTTGTGTCACTTTAAGAAAAAAGTGTTTAATTGTCCTATTTTATAGGAGAACTGAAACAGTTTTACATAAGCATAGGCACTATTTTTATTGTTTACTATTATACTGTGACTCCAAATCAGACCTTAATAAATCTTCCTTATTCTCTCTTTAGCTGTTTGTTGCTAGTCTCTGACTCTGGAAGTGCATTTAGTCCACATGTAAAATGTAACTTCTTAGAAATAGGACCCTTTGATTTTGCAGCTACACTGTTAGAGCCTTGATACCCTTTGGTTCCTGTGTTTTCAGTCTAAGGCAGAGATTAATTGTGTATTGTAGGGGATTGGTACATCTATCCAGTTCCTGTTATTTTGAAAAATGACACAAAAGTTGTTTATCTGAGAAAATTAAAGTTGGTGGAGTATATGTACACATTTTCAATCACAAGATGAATGGGAAGAGAAGTTTCCATTTCCTTCTCTCTTCCTCTTGACGGGCCCTCTGAGGATGCTCAGTAGCTCTTGGCAGGCTGTCTAGGTACTTCGTGCTTAGGTGCAGAAATCTGTCGATCTCCTTTTTACCCCATGAGCAGAGGGTCACAGGGCTGGTTTTGACTATACTGTCTTCACTTCTTACAGAGAGCTTTTGGCTATCTTTGTGTACTCCTTTAAGTTGTTAAGGTGGTTATTATTTTTAAAATGCCCATTTGTTGATGGCTGCCTGGTTGCATCCTGGGAGATTCATTTCACTTCTGATTGGGAACTCCTTTGCAGAGAATGCCTTTGGGACCCTCAGTTATCAGAGAACCCCCTGGGAGTGTCTCCATTTTCAAGTTTACAGTTGTTGGCTGTGGGATCTCTCCACTGTTGGCGCCTAGGAATTATTTGAGTGTTTCCAGTGATGGCTGCTGGCACTTAACCCAAGTCCACCCACAGGCAATGCTGGTTATCAGGGAGTTGCCACTGTTCAGACTGTGAGTGCATCCATAATGTCTTTCTCTTATTTGCTAGGCAGAAGATGGTGTTAGTGATTGCGAGCTGCTGGCTGGCACCCTTGCAGAGCAGGAGTAAGTGAGTGCTGCTCAGCTTTCCGGTCCTGTGAGTCTGATCCTTTCCTCCATGTTTTGGCACCGCTGCCAAACACATACGTTGAAATCCTTCATGATCGTCATCAGTTTGTTGGATGGTTATATTGTTGCGAAGAGTCTGTCCAGCTCCTTTGTATCTTTTTTTCTTTTTTGTCACCTTAGTGTATGTCCACTGTGACGGGGACATAGGAGTTGATGATGATGATGATGATGGAAGAAGACACAGTACTTATCAAAGCAAGACTAGAGATTGGGCTTCAGTGACTTGAGTACAAACTCTCCCCAGGGAAAACTTTTCCAGAGGGCCAGTGCTGTCAGCCCCACGCTGCACGAGCTCTTGTGTTGACAAATGGACGTGGCCTGGTCCTGTGGTGCTGCTTGTGTTTCCTAACAGTTTTTCTTGTAGATTGCTTCATAGGATAGTATGCTAATGCCGTCTGCCGCACCTGTGTTATGGAGTAAGAGGAAGTTGCCATTTGCTTGCCCAGTGTATCACTGAAGTATAAGGCCTTGAAACTCAACTAACCAATGAGGCTTGATTGGCAAAAGGCAGGCAATCTCTAGAGCGCCTCTTCTACTGTCCTCTTCTCCACTAGTAATAAATGCACCCCAGAACAGGCAGTCTGCATGGCCAAGGGACGGGTGGAGAATGCCTTGGAGAGGAGGCCCCACTTACTTGCGTAAACTGGGGAACTACAGCATCCCTGCCATCTTGAGACTTCAGCTGCCTGTCAGCAGAGAAGGGTGACTTGGAGCCACCTGACCTCTTCTCTTTGTGAACAGTGGTCACACTTTATGACTGGGACCAAAACTCAGATCTACTGCACATCTCCGTTAAGTAGCACGTCTCTGTGTCTTCATCTCCCTTGTGTGCTGTTATTGACTAAGGCCCTTACATTGGCTGTATTGTTTCTTCACTTTTAAAGTCAGTGGCATGCCTCAAATTCTTTGTATACTGAAGAGCATTTCACTGTTTGAGTCCTTGAGGTGACAGTTAATTCTACCTGAAGGGACATGTAGTTGCATGCCACAGCATCGTCCCTTACTTTGGTGAATATTTAGATTCAACTCCAGTGGGGTAGCCAGGCACTTTCTCCCTTTGTCAAAAAATATGTTTACATATTTTCTCTCTTATTAAGAAACCATGTGGTGGCCAGCTTTGTAAGGTTACTACCACTAGTCCCAGGCCCTCCATCCCTTTCCATAGAAACTACCCCCTTGTGGTTCCAGAATGGAAACTTGTAAGAAAGATGAGAATGAGGAATCAGGATCGTTAACTGCAAATGTAAATGGACTAAACGTAATCTAGGTTTGTGTACTCTCTCTTCTGGTTTCCTAGGAAATATTGTCCTTTGCTTGTTTACTAGTTTGGGGGTATTTGGTTAGGAGATTCAAGTCTGAGAACTCCAAGGTAAGCAGGGCTTTATAGGCAGACATCCTACTTGCCCCGGAGCCTGTGGATGAACACATCCTTTGATAGGGGAGCCTCAAAGCCCCAACGATTATTAACAATTTAATTCTAGCATGCTTAGGTATGAACAAAAATTTACCTCATAAGGTAAAACTATTGGAAAAAATGATTTGTTTTTGAAGGAAACCTGATTCCTAAGCATGCAAATCAAAACCTTTAAATTAAGTTATAGGCTTTAAGATCAACAATTGTGATTTTATAATTACAAATGTCAAGTCAAGCTATCGAGTTACAGATTTTTATTTTTCTTGGGAAATGAGTACTGGTACTACATAACTCAGTGATTTTGCATCAGGATCATCATTCAGTAGACATGAGTTTCTTACAGTAAATTTATAATTTATATAGTACTGACACGTTCAAGCCTTCCGCCATGTTTGACTGCCTTCCCTCCCCCGCCTTAGCTTTTGAATCAGGGTTTTTGTGGTTATATGGTAAATGAGCTGTTTACTAATTTCTTGTTGAAGTGAAATACAAATTTGGATGATTGGAATTTGTTATTTTGGGGGCATCTGGCTCATCCTTGTTTTTGTTTGTTAAACAGGAAAAGGACCAGCGCAGCCTAGACATAAACACTGCCAAGTGCATGTTGGGACTGTTATTAGGAAAAATCTGGCCCCTTTTTCCAGTTTTTCACCAATTCTTAGAGGTACCAAATTGTTATTTTATGAAATGTATGTTTGCTTGCTTAGAACTACCAAATATACTTTAACCATTTTATGTAATGTTTTTGTTTGTTGTGCTTTCTGCCTGTAGGAATTCTGGTGACAAACTTGCTGTCATTCAGCAATGACCTCTCTTCTCGGAGCGCATTTGTGTATGCGTGTAACACTGTGTTGCATCACTCCACGTTACAGATATGTCAGAAATGGCCACAGCTCTGTCCTTTCCTCTCCTTTCTCATCTCCATTTTAAAAGCTTCATTTTGTTTAGATTTCCTGCTCCTTATAACAATGGAGAAGACCGGCTTTCTTTTGGAGGAACTTCCACTTTTATTAAGTAAAGGTTAAAAAAACAGTCATCTGCCTTCTTACTAAAATCAGTTTGTTGTCACTTCTTGTCTACTTTTATCTCTAAGGACCTTAGCTCAGTCTAGTCCTAGGCAAACTGACAGTATCTCCTTTGGTTTAACTTTTCTTCAGCTTTGTATCAGAAAGAATCCATTACCTTACACCATCATTGTGTTTTGTTGAAGTATTGGTGACTGAATATTCTGGTTGTTGTTGAAATGTCATCATGCAGGATCTGGAGGGATCTGAGATACAGACTGGAGTTACTTGGGTTGTCATGTATCTTGGCTAAGCCCTTTTTTTTAAAAAAAAAAAAAAAAATGCCCTCAGCCTGCAGAGATGTGGGTGCTGGGTCTCTGAGAAAGTCCAGGGCCTTCCCTTGGCTCCAGCTTCCCTCTTGAAGTCATCCTTCTTGCGACTTACTTTGTGTAATGGTCCAGAAAAGCTTAGCAACAGATACCATTCTTTGAGGACTGTTATTAAAGTTGGTCTTAATGTAAGAAACATTTGTTTACACACTAGTTCATATGTACATTCTTGTATGGCTTGTTCTAATTTCTCAGACAACCCTATGAGATAAATTAGCACCATTCAGAAAATAAATGGACTCGGTTCTTGTTCTCAGCAAGCACAGCAGGACCTGAGCCTGAGTGTAAAGGTTTCTTTAGCCGAAAGACATTGCCAATTTGACTTTGCACAATTCTGGGAGCATTGTCAACTATTTTAAGACTGGTTTTTATTTTTAGGTGCTTAGAAAGCTAAAAAAGAAACAGTAATTTTTTGATTTCTGCTTTTCTTGTGTTTGCATCCTTAAAATCATTGGTAACTCTCTGGGCTTTTTATGTACCTGTATTATTTTATGATATTTCTTGATCTCAGTGGTAAGGATTTATAAATTTTTGGCTCCAGATTTTATTTCTAAATTTATAATGATATAAGGATACAGTATTTAAAATATAACTATGGCTTATTTCTTGTCTAAGAGGAATAGAAACACCATGCCATGGCTATTCTACTTCTTTTGTGATGAGATTCATGTTTTGAATGACTAGAACAGTCACTTTCTTCTATTACAAGGGCATCTAGTGCCAAGACCACTTGTAGCACTTACAGGTTTTCATTGAGTGACCCACTGCTGCATGTGCTTTAAGCCAGTGACTTGGCAGTGAGCAATGCTGATCATGGCAGAGCTTATTAATGGATCCTATACATGAATTACATAGATTATCTCTTTTAATCCTTGCAATGTCTCCATGAAGTAGGTGTTGTCCCATTTTATATAAAAGGACATTTGCCATTTAAGAAGTTGCACTTCCAGAGGTATGAAAGTGTGTTTCTTTGATGTGCTTACCATTTTATGTGGCTATAATATTTTTGTAATGAAAATTGTCATCTAAAGTTCAACTCTTGCTCTCACCCACCATCCTAGATTGATACTTAACACACCTCAAATGGAAAGAAGCCCCCCAACAATGAACTTGAAGTTGATTCATACAGCAGTTTAAACCCTCCCCTTTGTTCATTTTCAGTTAGTAATTGCTATTACTTTCCCATTCACCAGCAATCAAAATACAAAGTTATTAACAAAGACCAGTGGTGCAATGTGCTAGAGTTTAGCCGAACAATTAATCTCGACCTGAGCAACTACGACGAAGATGGAGCATGTAAGTACTGTGGCTGAGTGTTCACTCCCGCCTCTCCCAGCATGTGTATGTGCATGTCTTTCTCCTTGGAAACAGCCTCAGAGCCACGTTGTTTTCTCTCTCTCCCCAGGGCCAGTGTTGTTGGACGAGTTTGTGGAGTGGTATAAAGACAAACAGATGTCTTAGGACTTTATACATAGCAGCGAGAGAGTCACTGTTACCACAGTTATGTCAACCATTAGCCATAAATTGCTGTTTGTATCAAAGCGCATGCTGCTTTTCTTGCACTGTCTCCCTTTGGCAGGGATGTTTTGGTGTTTGCTATTGACTGGACCAGCTCTGTTTGCTGTGTAGCATTGTTCTCTTGAAAGGCTGCTTTGCAGTTTGTATTTACACTACAGATTGGTGAATTTGCCAACGTCCTCACTGTGATTATGTGTATATTGCTGTTTAAATTTTGTATATGTGTATAAAAAGAAAAAGCTTCACCTAGAGATTATTTCTGCAAAAATGTATTGTACAAATAATTTTGTGGCATATTTCTAGTCCCTTTTTTCAAATGAACCAATTATACTTCATTTGGTCTCAAATGTAGCATTTCAGAAGATGAGACAAAACAACCTTAACCATGAGCAAACATTGCCAGAATTAACCTTACTGTTTAAGAGGCCAACTTTTGGAAGGGGGTGGGAGTCCTAAACTAACTTTTCAGTGGCATAGGCCAAATCCCATTTGGTTTACTTAACAATATTAGCATCTTAAAATGATGAACGTTATCAACATGTGTAACATGCCACCATTCACTTCCACCATGCAAGGCATGGTTTTTTGTTTTGCAGTGTTAAAACTGTAGCAGCTTGGATTTAGGTATAAATGACCAAATTAAAATGGCACCTTTTTATTTTTTAAATTGGGGTTTAAATTCTTATGAACTTTATTTAACGGTATTTTCCCTCCCTCCATCCCTTCCTACCCGCCCCCCCCCCCCCCCCCCCCGGCATCCTTTTAGCCAGTGTTGGATCTGCTGATGCTTTGTATGCCATGCTAAGTAAAGTTTATTTTGCCTCCTCCATGGAAAAAAAAAATCTAATGGTTTGCTGGCCATTTATAACTGCTGAGCACTTTTAGTTGTGGCTTGAAATTTCAGTGAATCTGTGTGGTGTCTGATTTTCTAGGGTTTGTTTTTTTTTTTTTTCTTTTTTTTTTCTTTCTTTCAAAGAGCTGTGAGAGGAGTGTGTAGCTTCCTTTTAGTTTGTCCTCCTGGTTTTGTTTCTTTCATGCTAGGCTTTTCCTGGCAGCACGTCCATTGCTGGCAGTGGACACAGCCACCAGCATTGAGCTCACCTGTCACAGGCGAGGACCTTTCCTGGAGGGGCCGTTTGTCATTCCCTGAGTCACTTGTACAAAGGGGGGCTGCCGTTATTTATGTAGGTGAGAAAATAAGAGTAATAAGCAGGATCATATTTTTAGGTTTGTGTTTTATGGTTTTTTTTGTTGTTTTTTTTTTTTTTTTTTTTTTTTTGCCTTCTTGAGAAAATGTGTAGATAACATGTTTTCGCCCAGCTATCTGGTGCTATTGATGACTAATTTAGTCTCTAAAGTTTTATGAAAACACAAAAATCTAGTGATTTAACCCAAGTAAAGAGCTAATGGTACATGTGAACAAGTTAAATGCTATAGTTCTGAGCAAGATGCACGATTGAGCTTGTAATGATTGGAAGAAGTTTGGAATCATCTCGAAATCTGGCCAAAAATATCTTCTAGCATAAATGTGAATGTTTAAATGGCATTAAACGAGTAAAGCACACTGACAATGCTACTCTTTGACCACTGTTGTAGTTTCTTTGCAAACAGTGTTCAGATTTTCATATTTTTCCCTAACGGAACCACCAAAGACAGACATTTTATATGTATATACAGTGTGTGTGCATATACAAAATCATGCTATGGTAGAATGCAACTACTTCCTTTTTCTACCAAATAGAAAAGGTTTGGTTTGCTGTGAAATAAACCAGAGGTTTAAAAAGCTCTGTAGTGATGAAGCATACTGAACCATTCCTTGTTTGTACTCTTCACTTTTAACCTTACAATCTAATAGCAGTTTGCATAAATTAATACCTGAAAGAATAGCAAATGTTGATAGCAAGCAACAGCTATTGAGATCATTCTGTGGACAAGATTCTGATGGATATGCGTGTGTGTGTGTTATAGCAGTGACTAGCCATGGGCAGACTTGGATCTATGGAGAATTGATTCATTTTCTAAAGTACCCCAAAACAGTTCAAAAAATTAAAGTTTAAAGGCAGCAGTTATTAAATTTGATCAACTTTAGTTTTGTTTGAAGCAAATATAAATCATAGGTGAAATTATTTTAAATATGATATTAGAATCTAGAGAATCTTTTTAACACTAAGCACAGTTAGTCCTAAAATAACAGGATTATTAGAAGGGAGAGGTGTTAGCATTTTATTGACAGTGAACGTATTCAGGACAGGAGAACCACCCAGGGAAGAACCATCTCCAGATGTGTGATATGTAAGCAAGCATTGCACAGGGACAATCTTGCCTGTTCAGAAAACTCTAAATCATCTTTAAACTGCCTTGAAGCACAGACTTCTGTGACTATGGGGTTGCAGAGTGCTTGCCCTCGGTTTTCTTGATTTCACGTAGTTATTTTTAAGAGGAGAAAAAGGAATCGGACTGAGTAATAAGATGCTTTTTCTTAGACTTCCCTAAGTTACACAGAATTGAACATCATCAGCCAGTTGTTGACTGGCTGATGTTAAGTACGTGAGGGTGCCTTCTTCCGAGTTTACTCCAGTACCTGAGTCTGCACCCTTTCTCTCTCTTTTCTATTGTGTTTTGAACTCCGCGTTACAATACTCCATTGTAATGGAACACAGCTCTTAGGTGTTTACTGCTGCTGTAGGTCAGGAATTTTATCCTTTAAGTTGCCACAAACATCCACTGTAATGTTTCTTGCACCTTTTTGGAAGCATGAACTCCGAATTAGGGTTTTATGAATCTGACTAGGCAAACCTCTAAATTTTGGTTCAGATTTCTGTTGCCTGTCAATTTCCATTTTAACAGTGCTTTTGAAGTTTATACAGAAAGCTTTAAAAGTTAGTTTGTGCCCTTGGTTTTTATTCTTACAACTGCTAAAATACCTCTGTAAGCCTTATTCTATATTCTTTCATATGTTGTATAATAAATGTAAAGAATTCATTGACCAACTGAAATGTTGGGTGTCTGTAAATGAGACCAAAATGTGGGTTGCTTTTTTTCATAAAATAATTTCTATTTGGGGGTTACTGTTTAATGAACAGCAGCTAACCTATAACTGTGAATGCTTCGTGTCGTCAGTATTTGCATTACATTCATAAAAGTGTGCAAGTCCTGTGACTCCCAGCTTAACTAAAATACTGTTATGCCACCTACCTTGAGTTCAGCAAACTGGTTTTAGGTTTTGATGGAATTGATGTAAAATGATATCCCATAAATAAAAAGTATTTGTGTTTGGTTTCAGAACTGATTAATAAATCCTTTATTCTCTCTGACTTGTGCTTAAAAAAAAAAACTGTTTATAGTAGTTTTAAAGTATGTTATAGTTTTCTTTTTCCTCTCAACTTTTTCTGTTGGGGATGTTCGGAACTATAGAAGAAAATGCAACAATAATACACTACAATCCCTTATGCCTACCACTTAAATTTTTCTAGTAAACATTTCGCCTCATTCCTTGCCCTGCTGAGTGTTTGCATGTGTTTGTGAGTGTGTGTAAGTGTGTGTGTGTGTGTGGGGGGGTACTTCTCTGTATGTGTAGATAATTAAATATACCTTTTTTATGAACTATTTGAGAGTAAGTTATATTATTTGTGCCTGATTTTTCAGAATAAAGACATTCTCTCATAGCCATAATAGAGTGATCACACTCAGGAAGTTTAACAGCGATATAGTACATTATCCAATATGCAGTCCAGATTAACATCCCCCTATTTGTGCCAATAATGGCCTTGATAGCGATTTTATTTTCTATCCAAGGATACCATTTGATTGTAGAATATCCAGGTACACCCCATTTAAATTGGTGCTGTAGATGGTTCTTTCTACCATAATTGTAGCTAAAAGCTGAGAATCAAACCGAGAAGATCTTTGCTCTTCTGGACACCCAGAAAAGGGGTGGGGTGGGGGAGAGGTGTGTGTTGGTACAGGAAAAAGCTTCATCCCACATTGATGGAAAGTACTGGGAGGTGACAGGACTTACCACGGAGAATTCTTAACCTGGGATATGGCAAGCTTAGAAACTCCAGAAGCACATCATCCAGTAACAGAAAATAAGACCACAAGAGGCACTCTGCTAGAGGTTGCTAGTAATCCAAATATAAATGAACAGAAATTGAAATAAAGTTCTCCTGCAGTGTAATTGGAACAAAACAGACTGGGGAGAGAGTAAGTCACTAATACCCCCTGAAGACAAAATTGCAGCCCAGATGCACTGCAGATACACTCGTGAAGGAAGAAAGCTGTAGGCAAGAAGAGCATTAAATGCTTCTTAAAATTTTAATTATTCAAGAGGCACAAGGACTGACAGAAACAGACAAACAGAACCCCCGCTCATTGATTCTTTCCTCAAAAGCCTACAACAGCCAGGGTTGGGCCAGGCTTGGAGCTAGGAGCCAGGAACTCAAGCCAGGTCTTCCACATGGGTGGCAGAGTCCTAATTGCTTGAGCCATCACTGCTGCTGTCTGCATTGGTAGGAAGCTGGAGGCAAGAATCAAACCCAATGCAAGCATCTTAACCGCCGTCCGAACTGGCAGGCTAAACACCTGCCCCAGGAAGAACGTATGGAAGCTCTTTGAAATAGTAAGGTAGAGGCCGGCGCCGCGGCTCACTAGGCCAATCCTCCGCTTGCGGTGTCGGCACACTGGGTTCTAGTCTTGGCTGCTCCTCTTCCAGTCCAGCTCTCTGCTGTGGCCCAGGAGTGCAGTGGAGGATGGCCCAAGTCCTTGGGCCCTGCGCCCCGTGGGAGACCAGGAGAAGCACCTGGATCCTGGCTTCGGGTCAGCGTGGTGCATCAGCTGCAGTGCACCGGCCACAGTGGCCATTAGGGGTGAACCAACGGCAAAGGAAGACCTTTTTCTCTGTCTCTCTCTCTCTCACTGTCCACTCTGCCTGTCAAAAAAAAAAAATAGTAAGGTAGAGAGGAAAATGAACTTAAAAAAAAAAAAAAAAGAAAATATTCTCCACAAAGAAGTGAAGATTGTTGGGTCCACCCCAGGCTGCAGAGGTGAGGTGGAAAATTGTCTGTTCTGGAGAGCAACTTTCTTGTTAGCACCCGCAAAGGCAGGACATGTTTTTCATGGTTACCGTAATAGGTCACACCCAGGTGATTTACTGGAATGTTGTCTGCATATCTTTGTGTGAAGAGTGACTTTTATGCAGAAGATTAGAGACACTATTATATTCCTTTAGAAAAGAGCTGTCTTTAGAACTTTCGGAAAAGCAAAACAAAAACACCTGTCCCATGAGTAAATAACAACAAGGGAAACAACCCATCAAGCATCTATCCCTGTCTGGTCCTCCAAGCTCCTGAGGTAGAGGATGATCCCCATGAGGACACGGGCACATTCAGCAGAAAAATATTTGATTTTTCCCCCCCTGCCTGAATTTGTTCTTAGCGCTGGTCTGCCATTGCCTTAACAGAAAATGAAACCATCACATACAGAAGCGCTTGCTCGAAATCATGATGAGTAGTAAGTAGGCCGTGCTGAGAAGAAAAACCGGAAACTGGAAAACAAACTGGTGATTAAACCAAAATTTTGAGAAACGTGACTTAAAATATACATCTCTGCTGAAGAAATGTAATTGGTTCTTTGAAAGAGATCCTTTCGCAGCCATCGCTCTGAAGAATGTGGGTTGTGAAGAATCCTGCCTGTGAGCGAGCTGGCTAAAGAGGGCTGGGTTTCTTCCCTCTTGACTCTTTCTAGTAGAGCCATCTCAGAATTGCCCTAATTTGAATATCCACAATCACACATGAGTATTCTCTAGAAATCTTAGCGTAAGTATTTGATTATAAAGACAGCTGCAGCTGTACTCACCACTAGTGCACTGACATGCTAACATGTTTTTAGCCAACTTTTGATAGCATATTGAAAGCCGCTACTCTCTACTTGCCGGTTTATTTTGGATTCATTACCTGTAGGGGCTCCCATGGACTCCACTTTAGGAGTAGAATTTGGACCAGGGTTCCAGTCCTATCATACATTCCCTCAAATCATGAGTATGTCAAAGTGCGCATAAATCCTTCAAGTCCTTCCTCTTCCATCAAGATTCTCAGATTCTCGGGATAATCCGTATTTGTGTCAGCAAGTTTTCATTGTGTGCTAGGCAGAATTCCTATGTGTAGTTAGCAATGTAGGCATTCAAGTTTACAAGAGTGCCGAGAGGAGAAAATGAACAAATTGAGGAATTCAGGACTCAGAATGGGAGGTCTTTATGCCTATTGAGTGTAAGTGACACCAGCCACTTACTAATGGTAGACCAGAAGGTCACTCAGCTCAGTAGACGCTGAGAGTTCCTTTTGGGGAGCAGATTACCATAGGGATAGGTCAGAAGTCCATGTAGGGCTGGGTTTTTTGCTTGTTTGAAAGACAAAACTACACAGAAAGAGAGATCTTCCATTGCTTCTCGGCCTTTTGGCTAAGATAAGTGGAGACAGATCTTCCATCTGCTGGTTCACTCCCCAAATGGCTACACTGGCTGGAGCTGGGCTAGTCTGAAGCCAGGAGCCAGGGGCTTCTTCCAGATCACCTACATGGATGGCAGGGGCCCAAGTACTTGGGCCATCTTCCACTGCTTTCCTAGGCACATTAGCAGGGAGCTGGATTGGAAGCAGAGCAGTTGGGACTTGAAGCAGTGCTACAGGGCTGTTCTTGGGTGTCACATGCATACTTGCAAATCTTGTTTGGAGAATCACTGGAGCCTATCAGCAAACTGCGATGGATTTTAGGGATGAAGCCATTTGGTGACTTACATCGTTTAGCTTCTTTTAGAAGAGAAGGCAACAACCAGGCAATGTGCCATACACTGACCTCGTTGACGACCTTTAAACACACGTGAAGCATGTGGAGGAAACAGGTTTGGAGCCACTAAGTAGTCCGGAAGCTGAGATGTCAGCCCAGATCCATCTCCACCCAGGGGCAGCCACGAGACGTCAACAGAGGTCTGCCAGCAGCTAGGAGGGTTGAGCTATGTAAACTCTGGGTGCTGCTTGGCTTGTTCACGAGTCTGCTGGTGCCCTTTGTAGGAAGTCCTCTCTCCCCACTCCCAGGCCCTTGCGTCCTTTGTGGTCTCTTCTCTCGACTGCCACCCTGCTCTCTCCCCAGAATGTTGTATAAATGCAATACCACAGTTTGTAGCCTTCTGTTTTGGACCTCTTTCACTTACTAAAATGCTTTTGGGATTTAGGCACAAACTGTAGGTTCATTCCTACTTATTGTTGAGTGACGTTTCCTTTTGTGGATGTGTGACAAAGTGTTGATGGCTATAGGTTGTGCCCGGTTCTAGGCAATTATGAATAAAACCGCTATAAATATTCATATATGTATCTTTTTGTGGACATAACGTTTTTATTTCTGCTGGCTACTCTGGAATTCAGTGGGATTGCTGGGTCATATGGTAAGTGATGTTTAATTTATCAGAAATGAGCAGATTGTTTTCCAAAGCTGTTCCATTTGGCACTCCTACAGCAGCGTATGAGATTCTAGTGGGTCCCCATGTCCTCATCAGCATTTAGTATTATCAGTTTTCATTTCAGTATAAAAACGTTGTTAGCCTTTTTAGTAGGTATGTAGTGGATGCTTTGACTCGCAAAGTATATCGAATATATACTGGTGGGTTAATTAATGCCAGGCCGATTAATTCATTTATAGTTTGAACCAATTCAGTTTCGTATCACAAACAAGCTCTGTGGATTGACTGGGTAAGTGCAGTGTTCTCCAATGTGCTTTTCAAAGACTGTGGTCAGCTTGTTCCCTGTAAAGCTACGTAGAGCTGCAGTCTGTCACTTCAGAGAACAACCGTTGAGTATTCTGGGATGCCTCTTACTCCTTTATAATGCTGTAGGGAGAAGCTGTAATTCTTGATAACTAGAGATTGCTGATACATATTTCAGTGCAAATGAGCCTTCCTTCACCTTTGTTCACAGCAGCCCCCTGGTCACCCTGCAACCCTCTCTTCTCATCCTGGAGAACCAAGTTGCTCCACTGACATAGATTTGGAATTCAGAGTATTTCAGTGAGATTCTTCCCTTTCAAGTTTTGGAGAACTTCTTTTTTGACTTTTAACCAAGGGTTAAATGTTTGAAAGGCTTTTATACATAGTTTACAAAGTGCTTTTTATGCACTTTTTATGTGAATGATTGTACCCTGTTAAATCAGGTGTAGACAGAGGTATTCAAAGCATGATGGGGGCAAAGTGGGTAGATGGATGGGTATATTAGGATTCTCCAGACAAAAGAAGCAGCACCAATTGTGTGTGTGTGTGTGTGTGTGTGTGTGT